CCGCCCCGGCCCGTCACTACGCGCAAGGCCCGCTGCCCGGGAGGGGGCCGGGGCAGCAGGTGAGCCTCTCTCGTCCTCTTTGACAGGCGGGGCACCTGGGCCTGCGCGGATCCCGTGGCCAGGACCAAGTTCTCCAGACCAAAGGCCACACTTTCCTCGCTGGCGCCGGTCTTGCCCTTGTAGAGCTTGCGGCGCTTCATTCGGCTGGGGTGACGGGCCGTATCCTCTCCCTGGCTGGCATGCCCACCATCCCCGCCCGCCTCCCTTGGCCCCGACCCCGCCTGCCTCCAGTCCTCGCTCTGCATATCCGGGAGGACATCCATCGCCCGTTCCTCCTGCTCGCGCTTTCGCCGAGTCCCCTCCTTGGCCAGGCGAAAGGCCAGGGCGGCGGGCCGTGAGACAGGACCGCTTCTTTTAGCCCCTTCCGGAGGGAACGGGAGGGCTCCAGCGTTCTCCGAAAATGTACGTCCTTCCGTGAGTACACCGGGCGCATTGAGTGCGGAGAGGCCTGCGGAGGACGGGCCATTAGCGTCGTCCTTGGGGTCCTCCTCGTCCTCGTCTCCCACAACCCGTTTTCGTGGTGGGGCCGGGCCCGCTCCCAGGATATGACCATCTGATTTCGTGGACACAAGCTGTGCAGTTGGCGGTAGATTTTCTTCGAGAGGGTAGCTGTCCCCATCAAACATATCCGGGTCCATTTCTGCATAAGACTTTATGGATGTATGATTGTATACGTGTTTGTGAAGGAAATGAGCGAGAAACGGAGGGATAAAAGGACGCTGTCAGGACGGAACGGGCCGCATAAACAGAGACTTACCTCTTCCATGACTTTCTGCTCCATATCCATGGCTGCCTCCGCGGCCAGCATGGCGTCTAAATCCTCGTCAAAGTCGTCCATGGCTCCGTTCCCTGTGCTGTGAGACCTCGTGTGAGTGTCCCGTGTGCAGAAAACCACGAACTAGCGATAAACGCGTGAAGGAGCGATCGTGCTGCTTCGGCGCCCGGCCCATCAACGGGAAGAGCAAGCACGCAAGATTTGCACACGAAGGACGTCCGTGCCGGAAAGATGATGCTGTGTGTCGGCGGCATCAATGCAAAACCACCTGCATGGACGTGATTTGCCACTTTACGGTGTTCATGCTCCGATGCGGATCATCGTCTGCAATGAGTCCCGAGCCGGTGCTTGAAGTAGGGCATGGATTGTGGACGAGGACATAGTGGGAGGAAAAGGATAAAATGCATGACCTACAGGGGGAAGTTAGAGCCAGAGATATGCTCTGATGCGGTGGGTTTGCAGAAGGGGTTTTATGGAAGGGGGTGGGCCGTCTGCACGGTGCATTGTGCTGGGTGTCAGGCTTAAATGTTCAAGTGACATGGCGTGCGATGATTCCTTCACAAGTCATTTCTTTTCCCTTTCGTTCGCGTCCTTTTTACAACTTGGGGCTGGCCTCTCTCGTTCATACATTTGTCCTTCACGCATTATGGATCCGAGAAAGCGCTGGCAGCCGGAAAGCCTCCCCGCGTCCGCCGCTCCTGATCTCTCCTACCATGTC